CCTTGAATGTGAAGTGACATGGTAACAGGGCCAGCTGAAGACATTTTGCCACTGCACAGAAGGGACAAATAGCCCCCACTTTTTTAACCTTGTGCAGAAGTCAGCTAGACTAGAATTGAACATTACTCCAATGCTGCTGATACTTCAGCATTCCTCCACGAGGGCAGCAAGCGGGTGTGGAGGGTTGCAGAGCAGGCCTTGTGGCACTTACACCTCTGTCATCCTCCTGCTGTTTCCTTCCCTGCCTCCAATAGTAATCTTCCTCCTGAGATAGCTCCCTCACTCTGCCTAATGGTAGGCCAGCCCTACGATTAGGCAATGGCCCTACCGTTAGACCAGCCCTACGATTAGTCCATGAAAATACTTGGTAAGTGCTAAAATCTGAGAAGGAATGGGCAGTCAAAGTGGGGATGCAGGAAGTGTTTCCTGTGTGGAGTTAGTGCTAACATGCTGGATTCATTTAGTGTGGGTTGCAAATTTGTGTGAGTATGCTGGGTACCAGTTGGGGAAAGGTGGAGGGCCATTCCTTTGCACAAATATGCAGATTTATGCACACATACCACAATTCAGAGCATGTGAGATTTATATTTCAGGCACAACTATATCCCTCCCCTCCACATTTTACCTCAAAAAAAGATGTACAATTAATCAGCCATGATTTCCTAACTGGGTGGCAGCTCTAATAAATTATAATAAGCATAAGAACAAAGAAGGATTTATATAATGTATTGTTTTTCATATACAGATCTCTCTCTATAGAAGTTAATTAAGGCATCCTTAAAACAAGCCTATAAGTTTGGTTGGTATTATAATTTCCATTTACATGTAAGGGATCAGGAACCTCACCAAGGAAGCTTCACCAAAGAAGTCTTGATTCCTTATCTTTCTGTTATGTTCAGTGAATTTTGGACTAGAGGCATGATTCCCCTGACCTAGATTGTCTCTAGAATTAGTAGAATATACCTAAGTCTGAACTGGGTCCAAATATTCTTATAGGCCATTCACCCATCTCGACTAGGACCAAAATATATTTATGTCCCTTTTTTGCCTCCTGGATGGGCAGGTGATACATACATTGGTAGGTGCTGATCAGAGAGGGTTTATCCTAATGGTTTATCCCATATCATAAACCAAATCTTACTTAATATTATTTATGATGGCAAAAAGCAGGATTCCCCTCTGGTATTATTGTCCCTTGAGGCATACAAGGTGTTTGATTGCCTGGAGTAGTGGTATTTAATCTGAGTCTTGGAAATGCATCAGTTAGGTCATAAATTAATTTCTATAATTTCAACATTTTACAAAACTGACCATGCTGAAGTCTGTGCTAATAATCTGGATGCCTCTCCCATATGTCAAACAAAGCTGCCCTTCATCTCCACTATTTCATCTCCTCTCCCTGGAGCCATTAGCTGTTGCTCTGTATTCTAAATCAAATATCAAGGGAAACTGGGTGGAGGGGGACAAGCATCCTCTAAACTTACATGCAGACAACATGATCTGCATGTTAAGCAACCCCCAAGAGGTTCTAATGGTGTTTGAACAGTAAGTTTCTGATTTAAGGAACACCTTGTGTGGATGCTGGCTGCTGTGGGAACTACTTAGGTTAAGAAACGGAAGTCACTGCAGGACTTAAACCTCTCACTGCGCTATACAAATACGTGGGCTCTGGCTATTGCAGAGAAAATAATTCATAAATTACATGTTTCTAGGAATCATAGAATCATAGAATCATAGAGTTGGAAGAGACCACAAGGGCCATCGAGTCCAACCCCCTGCCAAGCAGGAAACACCATCAGAGTTTGAATCCCCGTGATAGGGTGAGCTCCTGTTGTTTGGTCCCTGCTCCTGCCAACCTAGCAGTTTGAAAGCATGTCAAAGTGCAAGTATATAAATAGGTACTGCTCCGGCGGGAAGGTAAACAGTGTTTCCGTGCGCTACTCTGGTTCGCCAGAAGTGGCTTAGTCATGCTGGCCACATGACCCAGAAGCTGTCTGCAGACAAATGCTGGCTCCCTCGGCCTATAGAGCGAGATGAGCGTCGCAACCCCAGAGTCGTCCGCGACTGGACCTAATGGTCAGGGGTACCTTTACCTTTACGTTAAGAGTTGGGAAGACACATTTCTGCACCATTTGGTGGGATTTCATTTCTTAAGTGTTAAACTCAGATACACAAAGCTCTCTTTCCCCACAAAATCACAAAATCTGGCTTTGATGATGTGCTTTGCTGCTTTTATTTTTCTACAGTATCTGCTCTCTATTTATGTGCATTTTTTTATTTCATGTTAATAAAGAATAACAACAACCACAACAAAACTCGAAAATGAATGGGAGCAGGAACTTGACTAGGAGAGATTTGTTTCTAGTGCCTAATAAGTTTTGCCATTACACGGCACTATAGCATAAAATGAGATGCCAGTGATTTGTTTAGCACTTTTACTGAAAGAGAGGCAAGCTGAATGAGTAAAATAATTAGCACATTTTGCACTGAAAAGCAGAAGTGTGATAACTTCATAATATACACTAACCCAAGCCAATTATGCTTTAATTAAAACAACAACAACGAGTAACAACTTTGTTTTTGTAATACTAGCCATCTCTGTTTCTTTTCACTCCCTCCTCCCACAAAAGTCATCTCTTTGTTTGTTGCAAGCAATTAGCAATGCACTGGAAGAGAGGAAGGAAGGAAGGAAGGAAGGAAGGAAGGAAGGAAGGAAGGGCACTTGTGTAGTGACACCTTTTCTGAACTATTTTGGAGCCCACTAGGGTTGCACAATCATCTCACAGCTTTTTCTCACTTCAAATACCAGTGTAGCTGGGAAGTAAATAGCTTATTTTGCATTGGCCCAGAGGCCATGACAAATGCAGCTCTGAAATATATGTTTCACATTATCGTTTTTCTTTTTTAAGCAACAGTTGAATTCAGTAGTGTGCGCATCCCAACAAACTTGGAGGATTTGGGATGTTGGCTAATGCAAAGCCAGCTACTGAGTATGTAAATTTATTACTTCAGCATGCCTGTAAATAGCTGGTTATCACTTCAAATGTTATCATTTATTCCTAGTGCATCACCCGCAGAACGTCCCTTGTACAATCTCTAGCATCTCCAAGTAGGGTGTGGAGAGACTCCATGCCTAATACCCTGGAGAACTGCTGCCAGAGTTTACAGAGAATAATGACCGAGGTGGGTTCCTGGTCTGACTCTGACTCAGTATATGGCAACTTTCTATGTTCTTGCAAATTTGAGCTTCTTGACTTGATAGTTGGTGTACCCTGGGCCATATTGAAGGACATGGCCATATTGATGGCAGTGTGTTAAGTGTTTTATATATGACCTCTGGCTTTTGCTCTCTATTCAATGATCTATACAGCATGGACATGAATATTTAAAAGAGCTTGTTTTCCTTTCCCTGTTGTGTCCCATGGCACCTTGAATCCTTGGAACTAGTTGGCTGTTGGACTGTAGTGGGCAGGGGTGGGGAGCCGGACCTTTTAATTTATATGCAAAATAGGGATATATATTTACACACACACACACACACAGCACAACACAACACATACAGTGGTACCTTGGTTTTCCAACCTAATCCATTCTGGAAGACTGTTTGACTTCCGAAACATTCTAAAATGGAGGTGCAAAGGGTGGCCTGCAAATTCAATAGAGAAAATTGGGGGGAGGGGACGGACTCAGTGGAAGCCGTTTGACTTCCAAGGCTTGTTCGAAAATGGAATAATTTACTTCCGGGTTTTCGGCATTTGAAAACTGAAATGTTCAACTTCCGAGATGTTTGTAAACCAAGGTACCACTGTATATAATTTAGAAACATTTACAGCATATATGCTGTAAATGTTTCTAAATAACCCACACTACTTAACAACTAATTACAATAAACTGAAAACACACATATTTCCTATCTTCTCTAACACTTTTAATTATTCATTACACAAATTACTGTATTTTTGCAATGAGTGTATGGCAGGGCACTACGGGTATGGCAAATTAACTCTGATATTGCCATGTTATCTTGGCACCCTGCCACTGCCTATGTGGAGCTAGCAGCCATCAAGTGACTGGGGCTTGGCTCTTGGGGGGGGGGGCTCCTCAAGTTTCCAGCTGCCTCACTCTTTTTCTGGTAGTGCTCTCTGATTTCGTGGTGCACACACAGTGTTCTGGTGAATGTCTATGGAACTTTACTTCCATTTTATGAGAGAGAGAGGAGATGAGAGGTTGTTATTTGATGTGGGAAGTGGCTGGAATAAAAGTGGTTGGGTGGGTGGAAGACTTGCATTTTGCAATTGAGGTGAGGTTGTATTTGAGGAGGTATATGGCTGGAATAAAGTAGGGGTGGCTGGATGGGAGAAGGTGGCGGAAATATTGGCCTGGGGGGAAATTAAAACCCCAGCATGAGGAGGGGTGGTAAAAAATATGGGGAAGTCACAGACGTGAAAGGGGAAGTTAGAAGGATGGCTTAAGAACTATCTACAACTCTCCTGGGATGCAGGTATATGAGAGTACTCTTGGAACTCTATGTTTAAGTCTCCACACCACATCATAATTCAATTCATAACCTTTTCCAGACTCTTTAAATTTATTAAGCATGATGCATTCAGTTCTACTCGTTCCTTCTCTCTCACTGGAACGTTTTCTCAATTACTTCTTTCCTGATTTCTCATACACAGTATCCTCCCAACTTCATACATCCGAAGATCTTTACCTTCACAACACACCGAAACACAGACACTGTCATCTGCAAACATCTCTCTGCAAAGAGATGGACCCACGGAATAAAGACCCCTTGCTTTCCTCTTCCTCACATAGAGAACTGGTGCCACATAGGGCTGAATCAGCCTCACCTCCCTCCATATTTCACCATCCTGTTGGCAGATAGAGGAAGTAAGAGGGAGGACTTCAAGAGTGAGTTCAAAACCCATCTACAGCCCTACCAGTTTTTCACTGCTTTCAACCACCATCTTCTTTCCCGTCAAAAATGGTGGGAGAAAGGGCCATAGCTCAGCAATACAGCCTCTGCTTTGCATTCAGAAGGTCCCAGGTTCAATCCCTGTCATCTCCAGGTATGGCTGGGAGAGACTCCTGTCTGAAATGTTGGAGAGCTGCTGGCAATCAGTGTAGACAATAGTAAGCTAGATTGACCCAACAGTCTAGGTCGGCATAAATCAGCTTCCTGTGTTCCTGTGATGATGGGCAGTGAAGGCTGTTAGTTCCTTCCAAGAACTAACTTGAAATGATGCTTTGTCATCATGGTGGGGAATTTAAGACAGCTGCCAGGAACAGCAAGAAGGTGAGGGAAGCAGCAGTGAGTTTTGCACCCTGGCCACAAATTGCAAAAAAAGGAGGGAACAAGCCCTCCCGCTCACATTGCAAACTGTACAGTACATTTGGTCAAGTTCCAAAAGCTTTTGAGCATTGTGGCTGGGACAGGGATGGCAACAGGGAGGCCCTTTTTCCAGGCATTTCCACTGGAGGACAACTAGCTCATTGAAAAGGTTCACCAAAACACAGACACACACTGATACACCATCTGTGAGCTCCTTCGGAATGATGTATTCTGCAGTATGTCATTGATGCAATAATAATGCGTTAGTGGTGGATTTGAGCTACATCCACACCATACATTTAAAGCATTATGGTAGCATTTTAAACAGCACTGCTTCCCCCAAAGAATCCTGAGAAGTGTGGTTTGCTAAGGCTAAGGGCGCTAAGAGTTCTTAGGAGACACTTTCCTGTCCCGTCCCGTCCCTGTCCCCGTCCCCCCCGAGCTACACTTCCCAGATCTACAATCCCTTTTCTCAGGAGACTCTGAGAACATGTATCTCCTAACAACTCTCAGCACCTTTGACAAACTACAGCTCCCAAACTACAGCTTCTGACAAATTACAGAATTATTTGTAAAAACCATGGGTGATTAAAGTGGTATCACAGTGCTTTAAATGTACCGTATTTTTTGCTCTATAAGACACACCAGACCACAAGACGCACCTAGTTTTTGGAGGAGGAAAACAAGAAAAAAAAATTCTGAATCTCAGAAGCCAGAACAGCAAGAGGGATGAAAGCAGCAATCCCTCTTGCTGTTCTGGCTTCTGGGATAGCTGCGCAGCCTGCATTCGCTCCATAAGACGCACACACATTTCCCCTTACTTTTTAGGAGGGAAAAAGTGAGTCTTATAGAGCAAAAAATACGGTATATGGTATGAATGTGGCGTTATACTGGATTGGCCGTGCATTATTCCACTTTATTCCTTGTTCTGAGACGCTTCTCCAATGTTTCAGCAATATTGCTGTGTGGAGCAGACTCTTGCACTACAGAGCAGCAAAAGCAGGAGCAAGAAAAACCAACGATTCAAAACATTTGTAGGCTATAAAGTTACAGGATTTCACCAGAAAGTTGTGGGGTTGTTTGCTGTTTGTGAAAGAAGCAGTGTGTCCTCCCAAAAAACCTTTGCAGGTGCAGTTGGTATTGACAGTGGGATTGCTTATAACTGCCCCTGTGTTGTCAGGAGCACAAATTATCATGGATGCATAGTAAGATGGACATCTGGAAAGGCCCTGTTGGTAGCAGAACATCTGTTTTGTAGGGTCTGTCACTCAGCAGCCGAACACATATGTTTCATACAGTACCTCCTGGTTCAGTCCGTGACACTTCTGGTGAAATCAGGGGCAGTCTCTGGTCTTTCAAATTTCAGTGGTGTGCTTTGCGAGGCCAAAATTCAGCACCCCCTGCCTCTCTCCTACTTTTCTGCTCAATTCACTATGTCATAGTTGTGATGCCCTGCCAAGTCCCCTAGGTTCAGTGCCCAGTGCAATGGAACCGGTCATGCTGCCCTAAATCTGCCTTTTGTGGAAAAATCCCAGCATCCTCCAGATAACTAATGCGGGCCCTGAATCAAGTCCTTTTGCCCATCCTTGCCCTCAGTTCAGATTTACTGAGTGAAGGTGGTCTGAGATGCAGTCATGTTCATGTGAGCTAGTTCAAATCTGCAACATACACTTAAAGCACATTTTTAAAAGCTCATGGCTTCCCGCAACCCAAAGAGTCCTGCAAACTTTAATGCACCTCTGAGAGAACTAAAATCCCCGGCACCTTTAACAAAGTACAGTTACCAGGGTTCTTTGGGGGAAGCCATGTGCTTCAAATGTATGGTGTTGGTGTTACCTAACCATTTTTCTACTATTACCATCATTTCACCCTTGGGACGTGGTCCTGGTTCGATAACCTAGAAGCTGTTGTTTGTGGTGTCTAATGCTGTTGGAGGTTTCTGTTGATGAAACAGTCTTGGAGATAATTGGTACAGGAAAGTGCTATCATGGCCACGTGTTTTGTCTGATCAATAAGGATATTTCCTTTAACCCAGAGGGAGAAAACTGCTTTGTGCGCTTGCCTTCTACTCCTTGTCCCACCAGTGTCTGATTTAAATAGTTCCAATTCCATTTTGCAAGTAGCCTTAGAGTTATGCCCAAAAAATGGCACTGTATGTCATAACAATTCTATGTTGTGGGGCTATTCTGGGTTAAGGAGAATCATATTTAATATTACTAATTTTCACATTATTTTACCCATAAAATTCCTTCCAGCAGCAAAGCAGGGCAGGGGGAGAGAGAAAAGAGGTTTTATTGCACTGTATTCCAGAGGCTCTGATTTATTCATGGGATAAATGTTTCATCTAATGAATTTTCTAGTAGATGTATTCTGAAATCCCTGCTGAAGAAGGGCCACTGTAAAACCACAGGCGGTTTTGCTTAAATGAGACAGATGCCCCTCGATCCTTGTCAGAAGGTCTTCCGGACAGTGAAAACCACAGGCAATATGCTTCATGTCATGTAGGCAAAGGCCTGGGGAGTTATACCACTGAATCTCTGCTTGTGGGGAAAGTGTGGTGCAGCTAGGACGCTGGAGGCAGAAGGCAGCAGGAGATTTAAAAGAGAAAGTCCAGACTCACTGGGCTGGTGCTCCCCCAACATGGGTGATTGCCCCAACAGGGGGCAGGGCTACCTCTAGTCTCACAACTGAGCCACACAGTTTGGGCAAGGACCGCAGGTAGCTCACTGATAGTACACCTGCCTCACATGTAGAAGGTTCCACGTTTAGTCCCCAGCATCTCCAGGTAAGGCTGGGGAAGACACTGCCAGTCAGTGTCAGCAATGCTCAGCTTGATGCACAAAGGTGCTTCCTATGTTTCTAGATGAAGCACCCACAGTCAGCTTTTCATAACACTCTCTTGCTGGAGAAAGTTGAGCCTCTTAAGGTCAGCTTGTGACATTTCGCTGCCTGTGCTTGAACCTCCAGTCCAATTAACCTGATCTGTGGTCCATTGGCAAGTTCTCCTGAGCATCGTCTATTCAAATGCATTCAGGTCAACCCTCATGGCAGAGCGTTAGCCTAACTGCTCCCTGCTCTGTTGCCCTAAATTATGCCCAGAAACCACCACCTTGCCATGCCTCTCCTTACGGTAGGGCCACCTCCAGACCTTCAAACTAGTTTCCTTGTGGACACAGATGGCTGCTGCACTTGTGCAGAATTTGTCTAGGAGGGCCCAAAGCTCAGTCTGGGTGGGGCTAGTCATGGGAAAGGCCATAGCTCAATGGGAGAGCATCTGCCTCACATGCAGAATGCCCCGTGTTCAATCCCCATCTAGGTCTGGGAATGTCCCTAGCTTGAAACACTGCTGCCAGACAGTGTCATCATTACTCTTATATATGGACCAATGATCCAGATCACCACATGACAGCTTCCTATAACCCCATGTTTGCAGTCTTGTGGGAGTGCAAAAATTATCACATACTTCCTTACTGCAGGGGTGAGAAACCTCAGGTCTGGCAGCCAAATATGGTCCTCCAGGCCTTTTCATCTCGCCCTCAGGACGTTCTCCCAAGGATGCACTGCTGCATCTTCACCACCCGCTTCTGCGCCCTCCTCATGTGCTTTTGCCTGCCTGGAATGTGCCATTGGACTGCATGTCACCTGCATATTGCCTGAATGGAGGAAGAAACATGCTTTGGGGCTTGCAGGTTTCCCACAAACATCTGATTTGCCACTGTGAGAACAGGATGCTGGACTAGATGGGGTATTGTCAGGGATCGGAGGGGCTCTGGGGGTATGTATAGGAGGCAAGGGAGCTGGAGGAGGGTCAGAGAAGGGGCCAGCGATTTCTGGGGTTCTGTGTCACCTGTGAGGCAGGAGTTGGAGCTGGGGGAAGAGGAAGAGTTGGGGCTCTCAGAGACAGGGGAGGAGTGTTGGAAAGGAGAGGAAGAGACCGATCCAGAGAAAGTTGAGCCCTGGAATCTCTGTCCCTTCCTCTGCTGTTTCCAAGGACAAGGAGGGTCTTAAAGCACCAGGTACAGCAACAAGTACAGTGCAGGAGAAATTGCAGTTTGCTTGTGAGCACCTCATCAGGTGAGGGGATTTAAATTTGGGGAGAGGTGCTCCAATGGTCCACTTCAGGGCACAGGCCTGGAGAGTAGATGCCTAGCTATCATGCAGCAGACCTGGTATGTATACCCTGTGGACCTCAGGAGATGCTCTAATAGAATGTTTTAACTACCACCTGTTACTTCTCCTTGGAATGGGTGTGCTCAGAACAGCTGTTGACCTGATCCAATAGGCTTTTCTTATTTTATTAAATGAGGGTATATTTAGAAAGGCTTACTAATGCAAGCATCCCAATCCTTTGTGCACATTTACACAGAAGGAAGTACCACTGTGTTAAGTGGCTTAGTCCCAAGTAAACGTGCATAAATTGACAGCCATAAATCCTGATCCCATGCACATTTACTCAGAGGTAATCCCATTGCACACAGTGGAACTTACTCTCAAGTACGAGCACATAGGATCACAGCCTTGGTTGCACTGATGTTTCTGTTTTTAGATTCTTTTTTTAGGACTATGGGGTGGGGGGAGGAAAAAATCTTAGGATATGAATTTTGAAGTGTCCAGGAGCAGGTTTTTAAAATTGCTCCAATCTAATTGATATATGCTGCCATCCATTTTGACCCTGGTAATAGCGTAGCTAAAACAATTTCAAGTGGGTCGAAATATCCCTGGAGTACTTACTGCAGTGATATAAAAATCTTGAAGCAATGTGTCTTATGTCCCGTAAATCATGTTAGACTTAATGAAACCTGCTGCAAGAGCATTCCATATCTGTGATGCATTTAACTGCACTCTGCAGATGACTTCTATCTGCTTTTAAGAAATATGTAAACCTCTGATGAAGTGCAATGGCAGAAGGCAGTGGGGGAGGAGTAGCAAAAATATAGAGACAGGTGAATATATATATATATATATATATATATATATATAGGCAGTATTTAGAGGTACCCAGATAATTCTAAAAAAACCCACCCCTGTAAATCGCTAGGACTGCCAAATGACCAGAACTAAAAACTAGTTGGCCTACTCCAGTGTCTTTTAGTAGTGTTTTGAGCTACAGAAATCAGCAGATGCTGACATTAATGCCATGGAAATGTATGCAACTATTCACTAATCTCAGCATATTTTATTTTATCTATTTAGACAATTTTATAGACCATTTAACTGCAGCTATCTTTAAGTGGTATACGAGAAACACAATGCAATGAAAATAAAAATCAGTTAAAATGATAACATTCAGTTACAATGCCTGTTGTTATATATAAAAAAGTATTTTGTTGGCACTGGAAGTTTTACAGGGAGGGGTGTCTGACTGCAACTGAAATGGGGTTTTCTGTAAAATTAAGGCCACAGTACTGAAGGTCCAGTTCCTGGTGGATGTGAACTATTTATGTATCCAACTCATGGGGGACCACAACCACCCCAAAGACTCCTATGTTTGGGCAGGGATATAGGAGATCAGGCGGTCCTTGAGGTATCCTGGACCCAAGTTGTTAAGGAACTTGTAAATTAATACAAGGACTTGGCCTGGCTTGGTAGCTTGTGGAAGTCATTGGAGACTTTGAGCATCAGAGTTTCTACCGGTGATAGTTTGTCTCCATCAGCAGTCTAGCTACAACATTTTGCACCAGCTGATTCTTGTGGATCAGGCCTCAGGGTAGCCCCACAAAACCAGATCACATCACATACTGCTAAAGATGCAGGAACAGAGCTTGGTGGGAAAAAGTTGGCAAACTATGTCTGGGCTTTTGGATTGTTCAAGATTTCACCCAGAATGTGGCCGTTGGTGTTCATGGGAAGAAGCATGCAATACAGGCAGTATATTTGTTTCAGATGGCTTGATACAACCAGGGGTGGAGCCAAAATTCATTACCATTTCCATTTAAAGGTGAATCTATTTATTTTGCATTCTCCAAAATAACATGTGGACCAAAACACAACTGTCCTTCAAAATCTGCACTTCTCCGAATTTTGCATTGCAGTTCTCCATCAGTGTGATGTGTACAGAAATGCATAAAGTAAATTATGGGGATTTGGTGGCAATGAGGAATTGGTACAAAAAAATTAATATCCTTCTTGTTACTGGCTGCTCAGTTAGAAATGGCAAAATACTGGAAGTCAACTATCAAGCTAACTTTAGAGCAAAGGCTGAAAAAACTTGAAGAAAAACTGTCATTCAGTATAAAATTAGCCAAAGGAGAAAGGCAAAACCTTTTGACCTTTTCCTACCTGGAGCCGACTCGTGGAATATGTTAGGGGACGTATACAAGGTCATCTTTCATCTGCTTTCCTGAGATCGTGTAACACTGGTCTGAAGTGGCTTCTGCCCTTTGCCAGCTGGACTCTAATTTCTTCTACTTTGAATATCCTCAGAAACAGTAGAGCTTCTTGTTCTTCTGTGGGTAGGGGAAATTACGTGCTTCTACATTGTATTAGTAGTGGTTTTCCTATGAAAATCAATAAAATGTATTTTTTTAAAGAACCCCCCCCCCATTATATTCGGGAAAATTCAAATATTCAGAGAAATATGTTTTGCAAAGATGTGTATACTGAGAGAATGCTGGTGAATTTTCATGAGGACTTTAAAAGAAAAATCACAAACTGATATGGAAATGCAGAGTAGTGCATTTAAGAATGGGAAAATGACAAACCGAGAAAAACTGAAATGGACAGATTTGCCCATCCCTAGCTGCAACTGAGTCAAATCAATTTCATAGGTATGTTGCTTCAGCACATGCAATTTACCTAGCTTCTGTTTACCAGTGAGCCATGCAAGGGACTAGATAATCATAAGAGGAAATAACCTACAAAGCCTCAAACCCACATAGGAGTTTATTGTTCTCCATGAGACTGAGTCTTTGTTAAGGCCTGACACTCACACAATTCAACATTCCTTTGGGGAATGTTTCCTCTGTTGGGGATGTCCTCATTCCTATGGGCTTTTAAGCTTAGAAATCTACATGACTGATACTGCATCACAGAGCATGGAATATAGGTTTCACTAAGAGGGCAGTGGATAGTGGGAGCACATTTTTTAAAAAAGTTTTCTAGAGCCCAGCTTTTACGGGAGTGTGTGCATGTGTGTGTGTGTGGAATACAATGTGGGCAGTTTTTTGCACCAGAAACCCAAATAAATATATACAGTGGTACCCCGCAAGACGAGCGCCTCCAAAACGGAAAACCCGCTAGACGAAAGGGTTTTCCGTTTTGAGGCGCTTCATAAAGCGAATTTCCCTATGGGCTTGCTTCGCAAGACGACAGCACATAGGGAAATCTCAGGGACAGCGGGGAAGCGCAGCGCGTCTTCCCCACTGTCCTCGGACCTCCTCCGAAGCCTGGCGGCGGGGCGGGGACACCTCCTCCCGCCGCCGCCGGGCTCGGAAGGCTCCTCCGAAGCCGGGCGGGGGAGGGAACACCTGCCGCCGCCGCCCGGCTCGGACGGTGCTCCGAGCCGGGCGGGGAGGGAACACCTGCCGCCGCCGCCCGGCTCGGAACGGTGCTCCGAGCCGGGCGGGGGGAGGAAGACCTCCCCGCCGCCCGGCTCGGAACGGTGCTCCGAGCCGGGCGGTGGGGAGGAAGACCTCCCCTGCCGCCCGGCTCGGGCGGTGCTCCGAAGCCGGGCGGGGAGGGAAGACCTTCTGAAGGCGGGCGGGGGCGAAAGTCTTTGCTCCCCTGCCTGCCTGTCCCGGAGGGCTTTTGAAGGCGGGGGAGCAAGACTTTCGCCCCCGCCCGCCTTCAGAAGAGGTCCAGGACCTCTTCTGAAGGCTGGCGGGGGCAAAGTCTTTGTCCCCCTGCCTGCCTTCCCAGGGGCTTTAAATTGCCCCGGACAGCGGAGAAGTCCTCCGCTGTCCCGGGGTGATTTTAAAATGCCGCCCGCCAGCATTTTAAGATCGCCGGACAGCGGAGAAGTCCTCCGCTGTCCCGGGGTTTTAAAATGCTGGGGGTGGGAAGAAAGCCCTTGCCCCCCAGCCTTCAGAAGAGGTCCGGGGACAGACTGTCCCCGGACCTGGTCTGAAGGCGGTTTCCCTAGGAACGCATTAATTGATTTTCAATGCATTCCTATGGGAAACCGTGCATCGCAAGACGAAAAACTCGCAAGACGAAGAGACTTGCGGAACGAATTAATTTCGTCTTGCGAGGCACCACTGTATGAGGCTTCCAAAAGCCTCTGGAGTAATGATATTCTTAGCACATGTCCCTCCTAGGAAAGCCAACTTTCTATGTGGTTTCTGTGCCTGTGTTTTTAACTGCAGCATAGTAGGTGATAACAT